GCCCATCTAGTTTTCAAAGTCTTGTCCGAGAGGCTCTGAGTGACTTGCTTACTTTTTCATTCTTTTCTATTTCAAACCGCTAGCAAAGTCAGTATGATCTTATGCTAGGTATCTCGGTCATAAAAAATTTGCCGACTAGAATAGCTTGCCCTTGTTTGATCTCTCTCTCTCTCTCTCTATATATATATATATATTATATGTGATATATCCTTTTTCAAATCTACATATTAATTAGAGTCTAATGATAGTACTTATTGGCTGTGGATAAATGTCTTGTAGTAGAGTCATAACATAGCACTAGGAAAATGCTGGGGCATCGGTTTCATGCGTTCATACATACTCAGGAATATTTATCTAGGCAAGGAGCTATTACATTGGTAAACTTCCATGAAATTTTTTGTATCAGTTGAAGTAAGAAACATCTATGTTTTGTTCACATAAACAGTTGTGCTTGTTGAGCAGTAGAAATTCGAAAAGCAAGTTTAACTACAATATTTGGTTTCATGGATACAAGGATTCTTATGTATGGTTCATTATTCTAGATTTACTAGTAGTTATAAATCTGCTTGGTTGAAGAGCACTTAACTGCCTAGCCTCAGTAATATACGTAATGCATGGCCATAGAATTATTTGGTCCTACTTTAGGTTATAGATAGAATTATGTGGTCCTACTTTAGGTTATAAGTAGGTTTTCATGTTTGCCTCGGCTCTGTCTAAGGATGAATACAAGTTACATAATGCGGAATCAATACATTATCTTTGTGCAAGACCTATTTGAAAATCTATTTACTTATATTCTTCAGCTTACATATAAAATGTCAGTGCTTCAAATTGGAATGTATCATCTCTTGGTTTCATATGTTAAATAGATTTTGTGGTCTCATAATGCATTAGTGGCTGTTGGGCCTTATACTCATTATGCCTAGCATTGAATAGACTGGGTATTCACCCTATCAATATCTCAAATCAATGATAGGTTCGATTCGGATCCTGCTCCTGCCTAAACGGCACCTGAATCAAACCGAACCATTTGTCAGGCTATTGTTCTCTTGTTTTGTTCCTTCAAAGTAATGGAGTAAGACATCGATTTCTCAAAAGGATCAATTTTTTTGATTGCATGATAGACTCCCCTGAAAAACATTGGCGTGCGGGTTAGAGTAGGTCCCAGATTCAAGTCTACTTATTAAAAGGGTAAATATTTTCTATCATTTTTCTTGGTTGTTAGGTTTTACTTGTTGTCTTTCATTATGATATTTGCCAAAGATTTGTTCCTTGCTTATCACTAAGTTCTGTAATTACCGACCTTCCTGAGCATACTGTCCTGGGGATGCCTGCTTTGTCTCCAACAGCGGTAATATATTTTGGGATGCTAAGCCTCATAATATTTGACTATGATATAGACGTTCTCCCTTTATTCCAATAGTGAAGCTTGTGCTGCTTCTTGCATATGTGCAGAGCCAAGGTAACATTGCAAAAATGGCAGAAGAAAGAAGGAGATAGGGTGAGTTATATAAGAAACTAATGGAAGCTATAGGTTTTATGGTCTTCGCATCTGAATTTGATGTAAATTAAAGACGGTTGTTCAAAAATAAAAGTCTTGTGATAAGGTGTAGTGAATTAATTGATTCATTTTGTCATCCTGATTTATTTCTTGATCACTGATGCTTACCTAACAGATTGAATGTACCATGTCAAATAGAGACAGATAAAGCCACATACAATTTTGAAAGTCTGGAAGAAGGGTAAACCCTTTTTTTTTTGCTTCTTAGTGCTTTTATTTTTCAATTTCTATGGTGTCTGATGTTAAATCCTATGGCCTAATTTATTACTAAATTTTGCTCCACATATGGGATTTTTGGTTTCCTTTTGCAACTTTATAATTTTACATACGAGCCCTTTATACACTTTTCTTGTGCTGTTTCATCTTATTAATATTGACCAAAGAGCACGCTTGAATTAGTGAAGTTCATAACCATCCTTTTTTCTTTTACCTTTCCTTATGGTTGGAGTGCTTATCTGCAGGTTTTTGGCCAAGATACTATTACCTGAAGGTTCTAAGGATGTGCCTGTGGGACAACCTATTGCAGTAACGGTATTTATTCTTTGATGCATCCTTTAGTGGCATACTATTGATAGATATATAAAATTCAATTCTATTTGAATTTTTCAAGAAGAAACAGTCTTAGTCTTGCAGCATTTGGGGTTTTTTTTTTTTTTTTTTTGGTCTTCTGTAGTATGCTATTCTTGCTTCCTGATCTAATGAGCATCTGCCTTGCTTACTAATTTTTGCTAGCTATCCACTTCTTTTTATGCTCCTTAGCATTTGAAAAGGTTTAAAGAATAACAGCTATATAAATAAGGATTTATGTTCATAAACTTTCTAAAAAATGGCAACAACATTGTTGGAAAATACCTTTTAATTTCAAACAATAAAATTTCCATCTTATTTGGTGAATAACTTTTGATATCTGAATTTTCTTTTTTATGCTTTTAAATAGTAATTTTTTGTTGAGCACCAACTATGCAATAAACAATTTGTTAAAACTCATTTGGATGGGTTCACAAGGTTGAGGATGAACAAAATATCCTGGAGATCCCTTCTACTTCTGGGGGAGGATCAGAGGTTGAGGTAAAAACAGCCCATCAGGATGTCAGAAACTCAGAAAAAGAAGAGGAACCAACTTCTATTAATGCCAACGCCTCAAACCTTCCTCCTTACATTGTTATTAGAATGCCAGTGCTTTCTCCATCAATGGTAAGAAAAATTAGGTTCAAATATGAACCTCCTTCTCTGACTTTTTCTTTACTGCAAAAGCTTATTTTGCCTTTTCATATTTTATTATAGAATCAGGGTAACATTTTTAAGTGGAGGAAAAAAGAAGGGGACAAGGTTAGTTTTATTAGCACAAGTTATAAATACTTTAAAATGCTTTCTTTTTCTTTTTGAGTGAATAATAACCTTGTTCGCATCCATATGCCTAACATTGTTGGGCATATAGAAGTGGGTGATGTTATATGTGAGATTGAGACTGACAAAGCTACCCTCGAATTTGAGAGCCTTGAAGCAGGGTAATGTTCTTTCTTGCTTTGGAATTTATTGCTGATAGCACTAAAGTGACATTAATTGATAGTGTAATCTTTGGACTAACTTGATTTCTGTAGCTGATCATTTGTCATTATGTCCATCCAAAAGTATGATAAATAGTGAGGTCTCAGGCGTAAGTCTTCCAAAATGGTGCTTATAGACTTGTTGGATATACACTAAGATGAGAAACACCTTTAGTATTAATATGGATTTACCTTGTTGTTTTCAAGGAAATATTAGCATGATCATATATTTTAGTTAAACTTGGCCATGTATTAGACCCTAGTTCTATCAAAGTGAACAACAAAAGCAAGGTCTATGTGTGTGTGTGTGTGTGTCTATATATATATATATATATATAACGTTGATGTGAGGCATAAGCATGAGTTTTCCATAAAGCACATATGTGGATATTATATTTAGTAAGACTAACAGTGAAAAGTAGTACTAAATAAGATGTCAAATCGAGAGAACCTGGGTGAAAAATTTGGAGGGCTGTGTTTACGTGGCTAAATAAGTTGAATCCTATAAAATTGAACAACCAAAGCAGGTGGAACATAGTTCAATCTAGAAGCAAGGGTATTTTTTACAAGTTAATAACAAAAGAGAGGCTTTCTTGGGTTTGAGATTGATCTTGGTTAGCAATTCCTTTCATTTCTATGGTTCATTTCTGTTAATTACATATAAACTTACAGTTGTCTGTTGAAATTGTTGGGTGCAGCTACCTGGCAAAGATACTTGCTTCAGAAGGTTCAAAGGATGTGGCTGTGGGGAAACCTATTGCGGTAACAGTAAGTCGCCATTATATGCTGTTACGTTGACTTATTTCATATCTTGTTGTAAATTACTTGATGCAATTTAGCTTTTCATAGTTAGTCAAAGGATTTTTTGAAGTCAGGTTAATGGTAGTGACTTGAGGCACATGGGGCACTAATGCTTGTTATCTTGCGAGGTTGAAGATCCAGTTGATATTGAAGCTGTAAAGACCACTACAGTCAAAAAGCGAGAACCAACTCATCATGAATCCAAAAGTAAAGTTAGAGAGCAGAAGTCTGGTACAAAGATCAGTACATCAGCCAAGTTGCTTAGAATATGGATTAGCTGCATCATCACTAAAGGCATCGGGTCCTCATGGTACTTTGCTAAAAGGAGAAGGTTTGGCTGTAATTAAGTCCGGAAAAGGATCTTCCAAGATATCTTCATCTGAGAAGAAAAAAACCATCAATTCAAACCAGCCCTAAGAAATCTCCTTCAGTGAGGCCTGAGTCAAAAGCTCATCCACAGCAATCAGATTCTTTTGAAGACTTGTCCAGTACTCAAATTCGCAAGGTATATTTCATTATTCAGTTATAAGGGAGTTAACAAGGCAAGAGACTTTGGCCTTGACCTTTTCTAACTAGGTTATTATTTAAAGATAGGAGAAGCATTATGGACTGGTTTTAATCTTTATTCCTGAAATAAATGTGCCTTTATATTGCATTGGCCGTCAGATAAAACTTAAAATCTCTAAAGTCCTGTGACTGCAGATGGTTATACCAAATATTGGATAGTGAAAAAATGACCTATTCATACATTTTAAGTATAGCTTGATATAAAAAATTGAAGCATGCATCAATATAAGAAAGGTAAGATTTATGCGCTAATGACCAAACTGATGATAAAGGCAGATGGTGGTGTTGGAGAATATGGAAATAAAATGATGCAAAGAGCTTTGCCAAAGTTAGGAGGTTTACATGAATGCATTTGGCGGAAGTTAGAAGGAGCAACATTCAAAGGACATTGGGTTCAAAGTTTGCATGTAATGGTTTGATGAATCAGTTGCACTGACAAGTGATTTATTTTAAGTTGAGTTCACCAAAAGGACACAGGCCTTTATGGCTATTGCATTATAGAATCACAGATTATTCATTGAATAGGATTAGTAAGGGGTTTGATTGAGAGGGTTTTCTTTTATTATTTATTTATTTAGAACTTATTTATCATGTATGACATGTTAGGGTTGGTTTTAAATACGGGCAGTATATCTTCATAAACTTGATATGAATACTTCTGAATTAATAACATGTTAGGGTTGGTTTTATATAGAGGCACTAGAACTGTGATAGAAGTATTTGAACATGCCAGTCTTCCTTTATGTCCCTGTATGCTATTTGCAATACAAAATGTCTAAAGGCTTTTCCTTAATATTTGTAGTTAATTTATTCGTTCAGATAATAGTTGGGTTCTTTGAAGAGAATTAAATTTCTAAGCTCAAGGAAGTCCTATTATTGATTCTTTGTTCTTTTCTAAGCAGTTTGAAGAGAAATGTATCTCTGTTACTGCTATAAGTTCTTTACAACCTTAGCATTTGTTATACCGTCAAATGTTGTTATTAGTAATACGTATTTCAATTCATCTAAATGTCCGATATCTTTGAATTTCTCTTTTCACATGTTTCCATCCTAAATTTTGTATTGGAATTTTATTTTGACTGGTCTAAACCAGTGAAAGGTTTTATTGTGTTCTTCAGATGTTATAGTGGATCCTCTTCTTTCCTTTAGGAAGGAGCTTAAAGGTATGGAATAAATTCCTGTATCATCAATTTGATCTTTCACACCTGTGGTTTTACTGACTGCTAATTGTTCTATTCTTTCTCAATTTGCAGAGAAGCATTATATTAAAGTTTCAGTTAAATGACATCGTCATAAAAGCAGTGGCAATTGCTTTGAAAAATGTACCTGAAGCTAATGGTAAGACATAATTTCAATAAAACTGGTCCTTGTAGATTTCTGAGTAAACATGGTATGGGAGCTGAGCCAACACAATTGGCTAATGAGCTTGACCAATTGTAAAATGTAGTAAACATTGCTAGAAATGTGGGGTGATATTTATCTCTTGGACTAGATTCCACTCTGTTATGCTGCTGTAAAAGATTGGGAATGACATACATTTTTAAACTGATGCAAGCACAAAAATGCTTTTATTAGTGATTTTTGCATCTCTAGCAAAACTACGATGGGAAGAAAATATTTTGAGTTTTTGATTCTTTTCTACCTTTATTTATTTCTTTTGTGTTGATTCATTGGCTGGATTCTTAGTGGGGGTAACCCTTTCCCAGTCCTTTACCAACCCTACTTGCTTTTTCATATGCTCAAACCAGAACTTCAACCTTCCTTAATGAAGGAAATGTCATAAGATTGTGTGGTCATTTTATTTCTTATACCTCAGTAGTTCAACAATTAATTTGTAGTTGCTGATCTATAAATGGTTTTCAGCTTAATCTGAAAAGAGAGTTCTGGAGAATATTAATGTTGTATAAAATATTTATTCACTTTGATAGAATCTGAAGCTGAGTATTTACATTATTACCAGGTGGGTCTATGAGCCTCCTCTAACATCCAAACAGGAAAAGACTTATCTTGTTTTGTGTTGATAATATATGGTTGCATCGAAGAAGTTTCAAGCAGGAAGAGCACTTACTGTTAATTTGTCATACATTTGTGTCGAGTGTACACACTGTGTATAAGAAATTTCCAGCATCAGCTTATCAGTAATAAGTGCTATTTTATAAAGTGGAAAATAATTACATTATTCCTTTTTCTTCGATTAAATTTAGCTTTCATACAAAATTTTGGCTCTTTTGGCTTATTTCTAATAAAAAATTTGCTATTTCAATGACTGCAGCTTATTGGGATGTTGAGAAAGGGGAAATAATTGTGTGATTCTGTTGACATATCAATTGCAGTTGCTACTGAGAAGGTATGCTTCCAATAAGATGTAGTTCTTGGGTTCTATAGAGCAACGGGTTTCATATTATTTTATTTGGATTGCAGGGTTTAATGATTCCAATTGTAAGAAATGCAGATCAGAAATCCATTTCATCAATCTCCTCAGAGGTACCTTCATCTTTGACCTCTACCCTTTTTTGATTTTAGCAACTTTGTTTGGCTCCACTACCCTGTAGTGTAAGTGATATGACTGCGGTTTTAAGCCTAGCAACCTCACGTTGGACATAACATAAGCTTGAGCTTTCTCAATTTTGGTTACTTTACACCAGATCATTAGGTTTATTGCCTATGTACTCTGCCTTTTAAGCTTGTTTAAATCTAGGGAAATAACGGAACACAAACTGCCTGTTGTCTGGCCCCTTAAATATGTTAACTAATCAAAACCACAGTATAGATATAACTTAAAGTTAAACTAGATCTGCACTGTATAAGATGATAGTCAGCAAGTTCAGAATTACATGTTTTACCATTCTTTTCCTCCCTTTTTTTTTTTATCTTTTATCTTTTATCTTTTTCATTTTCATATATTTTTGGCAATAAGTATATTTCACCACCACCACCACCACCACCACCACCACCAACAAGATGGCTTGATCGATGAGTACAACAAGCCAGCCATCGCTGTTCTCGTTTGAGATTACTCTTGTAGCAACCAAAATCCCCACCCTCCTTTGAGACTATCCACCCAAGAGAAAGGTAATGCTAATTATGAGGTTTCTTTATTACCTTATTTTGAGTTGATTTTTAGGTTTTGATTTTGTGAAATTGTTCTAAGTTCGATATTTTTTATCAAATTTTTTGGGTTTGATATTAGATTTAAAGAAATATTGAATTTCAAAGGTTAGGATTAGTTATGCATTTGATATTTTTGATTTAGGATCTAGGCTTGTAAACTGAGCGTAGCCATGTTAGTTTTTTCCAACGTTAACTGAAATTTTGAGTTTCGGACACCTACCAAATAGTTCCTTCTTTAAGAGAATGGGCCTTGAGCCAAGCAATCCAAATTGAGCCCGTTTTAGACAAAAAAGTCCAAATATATTGGATAATGCAGACTTTATTCAAACTGAAAAGATCTTCAAATATACTTTAGATTTTATGGAATATTTCCCCATCATTTTAGTTCGATTTAATGGTTAGTGAAATATGAAAAGTTTTCTAAATAAAATTGATTTGTTTTTTTTTTCTTTCAAAATTTTATTTCCAAGGCATTAGTTAATAAAATATAATTTTATTTCAAAAAGTTTATTTTCAAATAATTAACTAAATAAAATATGAAAAAATTGGAATTAATATATATAATTTGTATAACTTTTCTTTTCCTACCTATTTTTAATCAAACTCATTAGTTAATAGGATATCAAAAGTTTTTTTGAATAAAAAAATAAAAATCATTGCAAGAAAGATGATCGCATTTCTCAAGTAGAAACACCACACCACTTTTGGCCATGATTCCATGAACTTTCTTAGACATTCCACGCCATTGGAAGGTGAACTTCCAATGCACAAGCACACCATAAATCTCTCACTCAAGCTTTATGCAATCACAATAAGAGAAGAAACAGCACAATCTATTCCACGCTGAATTCATAAGTTACATACTGCAATAAAAGTTACAAAACTTGCATCAGTTCCCTTTTTCCCTTTTTTTTTTTTTGGACAAGAAGCTTGCGTTCATATTTTGAAAATCAATTTCTAACAATAATCAAGTGAAAGAAAAAAGATGAACTTCAAGAAGCTTGCACCTACCTCTATTATTATTCTTTTTCATCATACTTACTAAATTGGTTTGTGAATAATAGAAAAAAAGCCCATACTGATAGTTGATAAATTAATAACATCATACCATATAAAATAAGAGACAATAATTTATAAACTTAGATGAGTGCGTATAAATGATATTGACTAACTCTAAACATTTAAAAAACCTAAAATTATAAATCGTTAGGAAACCAAATCAATAGAAATTCAATAATGGCTTATGTGATTAATAACATCTATTTTATCAAAGTAAATAATTAATAAATTAATATTCACTTTTAGGTAAAGTCACTTCATACTTTTATCTTTAAAATTTTTTAATTTCAATAAATATATATGTTATATGGTAAATTCGTATATGAATATTATTTTAATTATGTAAATATATGTTCAATATTAACAATATTGTAATCAACATCTATGTTAAATAGCAATTAATATAGTTAATTTATTAAAATAAATAAAACATGTTTTGCATATTAAGCAAAAAAAAAAAAAGCTATATATTTTAGTGTAACAAACAAAATAAAATAGCTATTTCAGTGTTCAACAAACAAAAGTAACTAAGAGTTTAAACAATAATATTATTGTTACTAGACTAGAAAAAGAAAAGATACTAGCTAGTAATGATTATTGATTAATGAAAATTGATTTCTAATTTATTTTTATGTGCTTTTGAATTTCATTACAATTGAAAGTACATTGGTGTACTTGCTTCCTAATTAAAATGTTTATTAGTAAGGAAAACGTATTTATTAATTAATATTAAATGATAGAAATATTATTTTATACATTTTTTGTAGAGTTTTTAATAAATAACCATTTATATAAAAAATTAACGTCTATATTTGTTATAATGTATGTGTGAGTAGATACATATTTACATATATCTTTGTTTTGATTTATAATAATTATTTAAAACTTTATTTTTTAGAAAGTTTTTAAAACTTTGCATTTATAACAATATGCTTAATTATTAATATATTCATCTATATTTTTCTACTTATTATTTTACAAACATTATGATATTTCTCTATTAATGCAATTTATTATAATTTCCTATCTAATTAAATTAATAAAAAATTGTTGTGAACATTAAAATAATACAACTATTTTATTTAACAAACACAAATAATTTAAGTACTTGAATGATAAATAATATATTTTCAGAGTCTCTTAAGAAAGTAACCTTGTTAGGAGGGATGGATTGATAAAATTGATTTCTTCTAGAGTAATTTATTTTATTAACTTTTCAAATTTCTTTATTCTTCTAAATTCCATAATACATTTTTATTATCACCTTCTTAACTAAAGATATTCTTGATAGAAAAATGATGTGTATTAACTAATATCATATATAACAATATTATATTTTAGAAAAATAAAAAACAATGAAATGTTACATACTAATTATATAATAATTCTAATAATTTTTATTTGAGTTAAAATTCATTAATAAGTTATTACCCAAATACCAATTAAAAATTAATCAATTATAAAAATAATATGGCAAAAATTAATTAATTATAAAAAGAAATATAATTCCATACTCAATCATAAATCACCTAAATATATATATATATATATATATATATATAAAGATACTGGCCAATATTTTCATCTAATCCAAATTACTCAAAAATGCAATTATATGAGTCATAATTTTCATAGAAGAAAATACATTAGTACAAATTTATTATTATGTAAAATTATATCCTTACTGTTATTATTATCATTGAGATAAAAAAGGAGTTGTAACGAAAAAGTATTCCTAATTAATGGTTATATTAATAAATACCGTAAGCAAATGAAAATGAATTTTACTTATTGGCCCTCTTTATGATAATTTATGTTGTGATTAATTATATAGAAATTATAATCTATATATATGTTACTTCTAATCATACATAACATATATAAATTAATTATATTTATTGAGAAATAATATGAATTTAATAAAAGAAATATAAAAGAAAACACAAATATACAAAATGAGCCTAACTTCCTATACATGTAACCACACATCCAGGTGAAAAGGTTATTTATTAATCAAGAAAATCCTTTTTATATGTTTACAACTACCATGCCTCCTTACTTAGACATAGAAGTTATTGAAATTCACTGGCTATACAAATCTCATAACTATTTAAACTCTTTAATGATTTAATGCAATTAAAACTCTAGTTTTTACTTTTAAAATGTTATTAAGAAAAAATTACTTTAATAAAGAGTTCAAAGTTCATAAATAAATATATAGATAAAAATTCAAAAGTATTGAAAGTACCTTGATTATTGAACCAAAATACGTATTATGGTAGTAGTAACCTTAACCTGCAAAAAAAATATAAAGCTTAACGGAATACCTTCTTAAAAAATATTAGATAAACATATAGTATGTACTTTTATACAAGCTTAAACTATATATAATTGCATTTCTTACCATATTAATTAATCCTGCGTAATGTTGTTTAGATATTCTTTTTTGATATTCTTCAGCATGGAGACAACATTCTTCATATCTAATCTATTTTCAGGTAATTCAGCTGAACAATCCAAAGCTAATCTCATAATAGATGATATACAATTTGCTTTAATAACAAAATATTCATCCATTTCTTGCACTAAACTAGAATCTATTACACCAATTATTTCATTAGATAATGACCTTTTCACCCAATGCTTTATACTCATTTCTGCAACAAAAATTTCATCTGTGGGCTTCTTTCTTGTGAAAGTCTCTATTAATAGAATACCATAGCTATAGACATCACTTTTTGTTGAAATAATTCCCACCGATCCGTATTCTGTATTTTAAATATAATTGAATCATTAAAACGATCTCATGTCATTCAGGCATCATTAATCAATAAAATGATAAAATACTAATATCTACTCACCTTGGAATAGAGAAAAAATTAAAAAAATGAAAAAATCACCTGGTGCCATATAGCCAATGGTAGCTAGAGTCATTGTTTGTTTGATGGAATCTCCTTCTCCCAATAGCTTGGCAATTCCAAAATCTCCCACGTGTGCAACCATGTCCTCATCCAATAAGACATTACTTGGTTTTAGGTCACAATGGATTATAGGAATCGGATGTCCCAAATGGAGGTATTCTAATGCCAATGCAACATCTATCATGACGTTGATTCTTTGTAGGATATCCAATACATAGTTGTAAGAATATAACCATTTCTCAAGGCTCCCCTTAGGCATGAACTCAAGCACTAAGGCTTTGAAATCAATAGTTGAACAACAAGTAATGATCTTGACAAGATTGCGATGAAGGATATTGCTCATCACTTCACATTCAACGTCAAAACTCTTAAATGCTCCATCTATTTGCAAATTGAAAACTTTTATTGCGAGTTCCGT